ACCCAAAACGTGGTGACTCCAACTGCAACTGCTGTTCCAGGTATGATTTCTTTGTTAAAGCAAATCAACATAGCCCATGGCGCTTGGTTGGCTATTGAGCTGGCTAGTGCTTTTTTCCTTTAGAAAAGACTGCCACTACTTGGCAGGGGAGCAATACACCTTCACTGCTGTACCACGGGGCTCTGTCAACTCCCCAGTCTCTGTCACAATCTAGTCTGCAAGGACCTTTAATCTCCTTTGCTTTCACATGAATGCAAGTTGGTGCTGCTTGTGGCAGGACACCTCACTCCTTAATCCATGCGGCTCTCCAGGGAGACACTTGTACATCCTCAAACCATTGTTGTTGCCTTTCTCCAAGCAAGATAAGAAAGAACACAGTGGCTCAGAGTCACACACGATTACTTCAACATACTGATCAATATCCTTTTGGTCACCCAGGTAAGCACTGTTGAATGTCAGGGGAGGGAGCTACCCAAGGCCACGAAGCAATAATTACTGGGCAAAGATGCTTGGGGACCATCTTGAAGGCTGGCTACCCATAGTTGTGAAAACCATGAATGTTCTTTATTCTGTCTGTTCAACTTTTTGAAGTTTGAAGTTGTTTCAAAGCAGGAATTCATTTTTTTAAAGTGCTGAGTACACGCGCATACTTTTATTACTAATCTTACCCATTCAGTAGATCAAGTCTTAGGCAGAAGTTAAGGGCCCTCACTTCAGCTCCTGCAGGTGATTCAGACTCAGTATATTTCCTTGAGCATTTCCTTTTCTTAACATCTTTGGATATTTTCACTTCCCTATCAGTAAAAAAGAGAACAAATTCCTGTTTCTTCCTTCCTCTCCCAAAGAGGTCTATCGTTGTGCTTTTAGTTTTTTAAAAAACTGAATATTTATCTGAGAGATCCATCCCATGAGTTCCTCACGTTACAAATGTGGAAATTGGTCTCTAGAGAAGAGGGTCACCTGGATCACACTGCTAGTTAGTGGCGGGCTCAGGCCTGGCCTCTTAAGTCGGCAGTATCTGCCCTGCTATACTGCCTCTGCCTTACAAGAATAGCACTAGAGACATTCAGAAAAGAGTTTTCACATTATTTATGGCAACTCATAGAGTAAGGCTCTGTATTGCTCTAACATTGTGGTTCTTGAACTGTGTGGTCGCAGAATTCCTTTATACTCTTAAAAATTATTGAGGACCCTCAAGAACTCTTGTTTATGTTAATTACATCTATTAATAATTGTAGTAAAGGAAATTAAAGGTCATAAAAAATACTAAACGTCTTATTTATCCATTGCTTTTAAAGTAACAAACCCATTGCATGTTAGCACAATCTGTTTGTGAAAAATAAGTATATATTCATGGGCCTCCCTGGTGGGACAGGGGTTAAAGTCTCAGCACTATGAAGCTATCACCAGCTACTGCAGCATGAATTCCATCCCCAACCCAGGAGCTAACCCACATGGTGCAGCAGACCTCTCCTGTGTTGTCTGCAGCTCCCCTCAGCAGTAAATCTCAGTAGATCCACCTGTTCTACTCCCCACTCTGTCTCTGGTGAATCCTCTCACCCCCCACACCTCTAGCCTACACTCCAGTTCTTGTATGCATAAATAATAATAAATCTTTTTTAAAAATAATTATACATTCAAGAAGGAAAAAATATAGTGAGAAAAGAGTGGCTTTGTTTTACATCTTTATAAATCTCTTTAATGTCCAACTCATAGAAGACAGCTGGGTTCTCACAGCTGCTTCTGCATAGTCTATTGCAATATCATATGTCATGTATCCCTGTGGAAAATCCCACGGTTCACTTGTGATAGAATGAGAGCAAAAAGGATGGCTTAGCATTATTATGACAATAGTTTTAACCTCATAGACCCTCTGTAAGGGTCCAGGATTTTCAGACCTCACTTTGAGAAATCCCTGTTGTAGCAGTAGGCCATAAACCTGTATTTTGTCCTATTTTGCATTTTTATTAACTACTAATGAATTTTTGTAGTTAATTTTCATTTCCTACATAGTATTTAATACTAATCGTTTTTGCAGATGATATAAAGCTAGAAGGGGGATTATTATTACAAAAGGTGGCAGGATAAAAAATATATATTATTTTAGCTAATCAGAATCAAACTAAATTAAATATGAAGTGTCCTCCATTTACATTTTGTTGTATTTTTAATCACTATAGGCTAGTTAAGAACTGTCCTGGCAGCAGTTTGTATGAAAAAGATATGGTGGCTTAGGTCAATCACAAGCTAAATATGAACCAACAGCTTATAACATAATGTTAAGAAACATTGCTAGAGCTTGATGCATCAATCAAGCATCATTGAGCAGGAGTGGACAGGCAGCATTACTTACTTGGAGTAAAGTTGGGGAGAGGACATAGTTGTTAAACTTTCTTTGCTCCAGTTCCCCACCTGAAAGTGCAGGGGAGTGGCAAGGAGCCACCTGCTAACAACATGGTTTGAAAAGTTTAAATAAAAGAAAGCTAAATCCACAAACAAAAGTTCCCTCCAAAGACACAGAGATCCTTGCGGGCAGGATCCGCAGTTCACCAAAGTGTACAGCCACAGTCCCTACCACTGGGGGCTGCCCTCAGCTTTCCCCTGGCTCTCAGGCATTGCTCACCCAGCAGTGCTCTCTGGCCAAAGGCCTCTGTCCAGTGGGCCACTTGCTTCTGTAAGGCGCTGGCAATCTCAGTATCACACCAAAGCCCTCCTCAACGACAGTGGACTTGGCTTGGTCATTTGGGGTTCAGCTCTTCCTGGCCTGACCCAGAAGGAGAAAGGAACTTAGCTCCTTCCTGCCTGTTGCATCTTCCTGCCCTTGTTGTGAAATGGTTCTACCCTTTCCCTACTGAGTTAAGAAGCAGTTTCCTCCAAAGGTCAGTAGGAATTGGCTGTTTGACTTGTGCCAAGAATCACCTTCTAGTTGAACATGATAATATTATTACAAAGACCATTGCAAAGATCATCCATATGAAGTGCTTATCTGGTATCTGCTACATTGTTTGAGGGAGTGCTGCCATGCAGGACTGAATTCAGCTGACTGGAAGTCAGGAGGGGTCATGAACTTAGGTCCTTTGTCCAAGTGGACTTAGGGAGCAAGTGGGCTGCTGGAAAGAGGGTAGAACAGAGCAGCCATTTGGGGGGCACCCTTATAAAAGGAAGGGCGCTTGGCTTCTATTTGTGGGAGCTGCTGTGAGTGGCAACTAGCCCAACAGGCAAGCAGTGGCCCTTTGCCTCCAGAGTGGGTGTGGGCCTTCTCCCCCAACAGCAGCTGCAATAGCTACAGCCTGCCAATCCCTGTGGCCGCAAGACTTGGAAAGACTTTGTCCCAGGCCCTGACATGGGCCCTAGGCTCCAGCTTCAGGCACAGCATGCCTCATGAGCATCACCTCACCATTCCTTAGCAACTGGAAGTTCTCTCTGTCCCCTATTGTTCTCTCCTGTTAAAATATTTTTCTGCTTTGCTACACCAAAACTCTCTTTGTTTATAGTTGCGGCAGCGAGAACACAGACCCAGACAGGGTTAGAAAAGGGTTCTTTGCCCAGTAAAAACATAATTGTTCATTAAATATGATAGTTTAATTGCATTTCTAAATTTCCAAATATAGTCAATTGGGTTAAGACTTCAACACATGAATTTTGAAGGGACACAATTCAGTCTACAACCATGATATGCCTGGAAAGGGGTAGAACCAGATTCACACTTCAGCTTCCTCCAGAACCTGAATTCTTTTTTTTTTAAATATTTATTTTATTTATACATGCAAGAACTGGGGTGTAGGTCAGAGGTGTGGGGGGCGCTGTGAGAGGATTCACCAGAGACAGAGTGGGGAGCAGAACAGGCATCTACTAAAATACACTGCTGCCGGAAGTAGTGCGTAACACAGGAGAGGTCGGCTGTGCCATATGGGTCAGCTCCCTGGCTGGGATCTAACACTGCAGTGGCTGGTGATAGCTGATAGCACTGAGATTTTAACCCCTGTGCCGCCAGCAAGGCCCCAAGAACCTGAATTCTTATTTAACACCATTCCTGTCTGATAAAGCAAATCCCATCTCATTTTTTTTTTTTTTAAGATTTATTTGTTTGTTTATACAAGCACTGGGTACAGTCAGAAGCGCGGGAGGGTGAGAGAATTCACCAGAGCGGGGAACAGAACAGGCAGAGTGACGAAATACACTGCTGAGGGGAGCAGCAGGCACAGCAGGAGAGGTCTGTTGCACCATGTGGACCCTCGCTGGAGGCCGGGGATCGAACCGGCGCTGCAGAGGCTGCGGGCAGCTTCGCAGCCCAGTGCTCAGCTGCTGCGCCACCAGGGGAGGCCCATTTTTATTTTATTTTTTTTTTAAAAACAAACCTCCATTTGTTCTTTCAGATGAACTTCACAAATCATTTGGACATGTTCTGCATTGGTAAGAATTGATATTTTCACATCACCGTATCACCTCACCCAGGAACAAGCAATGCTCGATCTCTTGGGCCCCCTATTTAGGTGTCACCCACATTTTCTATGAAGGGTTTTCATATTTTTTTAGCTTAGTGATTTTCAAACTTGAGTGTACCCATGGGGCTCCCAGCAGACTCTAGGGGGGGTCCATCGAGGTCCATCTTGTAAACCTGGGGAGGAGTCTAGGATTTGCATTTCTAACAAGCTTCCTGGTGATGCTGCTATGGGTTTGGCAGTAAGGTTGTTGTGGGCTATTTTGAATGAGATTGTTTGGTTTAATATTTTAGAACTGGTTATTGTGATTATCTCGGAAAGCTAATGACCAGTTTTGCATATGATTCCCTTCCTAAACTCAGCAGCTTTGCTGGTTGCTGTGGAGACCAGCTAGAGCTGCCAGGGCCAGGGAGAGGGCTTGAGGAGAGGGGACCATCACTCTGGTGCTAAAAAAGAACTTGTGGCATCTGTGCCTGGAAATCTAGGCAACCAGGACCAGTTGCCTAGCAGCAACCTCCTGCCCACCCTCACCCCTATGACATCACTCCTTTACGCGAATTAGACTCAGACCCAGTGAACTATGTGCCTTGGCAGAGAGTAGATGGCCGATAAGTACATGCTGTGTGAGTGGCTCCAGGGAAATTCTCCTGCAAGAGCAAACTCTTCTTACAGATAAGGAAACTGAAGCCCAGAGAGATGAAGCATCTTGTTGGAGCTAAGTTGTGGGAAAGCTAGACAGACAGCTGTCACCCATCTTTTGAAATTTGGGGTATGTCATACAGACACACCATACAGCAGAGTGATTTAAAAAGCAGAGATCTCTCCCAGCAAAACATCCGTGAGAGACTTCATATCCCAGCTCTGCCACTAGTATTAGCAAATAACTTAACTAAGTCTCAGTTTCCCCACCTGTAAAATGTGTGCATGAACAGCACCCACCCCTATAAGCTACAGGTTAAGTATATGATACTTGGAGGCAGACTGCCTGCTACCTATTGGTGACGTGACTTTTTTTTTTTTTAGGATTTATTTATTTATTTATACAAGCACTGGGTAGTCAGAAGCGCGGGAGGGGTGAGAGAATTCACCAGAGCCAGAGCGGGGAGCAGAGCAGGCAGAAGGACCGAAGTACACTGCTGAGGGGAGCAGCGGGCGGCAGGAGAGGTCTGCGCACCATGTGGGACCCTCCTCTGGTGGTCGGGGAGCAGCCAGGGATCGAACTGGCGCCGCGGAGGCTGCGGGCAGCTTCGCAACCCAGCGCTCAACCGCTGCACCACCGGGGAGGCCCATATTGGTGACGTGACTTTTAGCAAGTCATTTAACCTCTCTTTATGCTTTGTTTCATCACTTGTAAAATGAAGACAATAATTGTGTCAGGCAATGATTGTGAAGACTGAATGAAAACACATTCCTCATGTCTGACCCTCGTGGTACCATAGCCACAGTCCTTCATCTCTCCTCTGCCTAGACTCTTTTGGCTGTCAATAACATCTGGTTTGCTCCAAGTTTACATCTTGAACTCTTTGCTCTGGACTCTATATTTGAACATCCAGCTGCCCGATGGACAACTTCTCTTGGACATGCAATAACCATATTTTTTTTAATTATTTTTTTAAATATTTATTTGTTGAAGAACTGGGGTGTAGGTCAGAGGTGTGGGGGGTGAGAGGATTCGCCAGAGACAGAGTGGGGAGTAGAACAGGCAAATCTACTGAAACACACCGCTAAGGGGTGTAGCAGGTGAGACAGGAGAGGTCTGCTGTACCATATGTGATTAGCTTCCTGGCCAGGGTTCAGACTCAGGCCACAGAGGTGATAGTGTGATAGCACTGAGACTTAATCCCTATGCTACCAGAAAGGCCCAATAACCATCTTAAACTAGCATGGCCCAGATGGAAATCTTCATCTCCATCCCTCAGCCTGCTCTTTCCAAGCTCTCCCCTACCTATGATAATGGCAACTCGGTCCTTTAAACTGCTCAGGCCAAAGTCCTCAGAGACATCCGTTAGCAAATTGGTTGACTCTACCCTCAAAGTATACTAGAATCTGACCACTTTTCATCATCTCCACTGTAACCACTCTGGTTACATCACTGGCATCTCTTACTTACTTGATATAATGAAATCACTTCTCAGATTCCTTGCTTCGGTTTTTGTCCCTGTGTAGTGGTATAATGCTGTATTCAGAGTGAACCTTTTTAAACAAAGGTCATACATTAGGTACAAAATTACCAAACCATCTAGTACTTCCCACTTTTGAGTCAATGTCCTACCACGACCGATGAGGCCTAGTACCTTCTGAACCCACTATCTCTTTGCCACCATCTTTACTCAGCCCTTGGCCCACCCTGCTCCAGCCAGGGTCACCTCCCACAATTCATAAACTCATAATTTTTGTACTTGCTGGTTGCTCTGCCTGGAACATGGTTTTTTGGCTTTTTTTTTTTTTTTGCCTGAAACATATTTACCCCAAGATAGCCTCCTGGCTTACTCTTTTTTTTTTTTTTTTTTTAAGATTTATTTTATTTATTTATTTATTTATTTTCTACAAGCACTGGGTACAGTCAGAAGCGTGGGAGGGTGAGAGAATTCACCAGAGTCAGAGCAGGGAGCAGAGCAGGCAGAAGGACAGAAGCACACTGCTGAGGGGAACAGTGGGCGGCAGGAGAGGTCTGCGTGCCATGTGGGGGACCCTCTTCTGGTGGCCTGGGAGCAGCCGGGGATCAAACCGGTGCTGCAGAGGCTGCGGGCAGCTTCGCAACCCAGCGCTCAACCGCTGCACCACCGGGGAGGCCCTCCTGGCTTACTCTCTTGACACCTTCAAGTCTTCACCCAAAATTCCCCTTCTAAATGTTAGATCTTCCCTGACACTCCAACCCTCCCTACCCTCCTTTCCTGTATACTTAGAAGCACATACATCCTTCTCATGTATGATTTACCTGCTATACTGTTCAATTATTTATTTTGTTTATTGTCTGTCTTTACCCCTTTGGAAAATAACCTCTTGTAGCAGGGACCTTTGTCTATTTTTCTCACTGCTACCTCCTCAAACCTGACATATAGTAGGGTCCTAAAAATAATTGTTGAATACATTTAATGCATACATGTTAGCTCTAATTATTATTCTAACATTTTGGGAGCAGTTATAGACAGAAAAAGAACAATTTGAAGCATTGACACTTTAGGTGAAACACCTTCAAGCAATGTAAGATCATCCTAAAAGAAATCACACTACAAAATCACACGTGGTCTAGGATCGTAAATATACAAGACACAAATAAGAAAAGAGATGGGGCCCAAGTTGTATTCTCATAATAACATTATGACTGGTTTGCCCTGCTATTTTTCAATGATGTATAAAGTTGATTCTGAAACATCAATTCCAAAGAGCACCTGCACCCCTATATTTATAGCAGCACTATTTACAATAGCTAAGCTTTGGAAACAGCCCAAATGCCCAAAAATAGATGACTGGGTCAAGAAGATGTGGAACATATATACCATGGAATATTACTCAGCATTCAAAAAAGATAAACACATGCCATTTGCAGCAACATGGATGACGCTGGAAGGGATCATGCTCAGCGAAATAAGCCAGAAAGAAAAAGAAAAATACCGGATGGTCTCACTCATAGCAGGAATCTAGAAAACTTAAATAAGGGACCAGGAAAATGAATAACTATAAGAAAGTGAAAATCAAAATCAACAAAAAACTATGAACCAGAGACACTTTTTGGGGGGTGGGGGGCAGGAGGGGAGGGATTGGGGTCAGAATGGGGGGGTTGCAATTGTATGGGGAATATAAAAATAAAATTTATTATTTAAAATAAATAAATAAATAAATAATAAAATGATATTGAATTCTGAAAAAAAAATAAAGTTGATTCTGAAATAAAGTGAGATTTTCACTTGCTGAAATATGAACAGTACAACATACTTTACATAAAAATGAAGTAAAACAGGGCCTCTCTGGTGGCCTAGGGGTTAAGTCTCAGCTCTATCACCACGACAGCCCATTAGGACAGCCTGAGTTTGATCCCCAGCCAGGTACTGACCCACATGGCGCAGCAGACCTCTCCCGTCTTGCCCACTGCTCCCCTCAGCAGTGTATTTCAGTAGATCCGCCTGTTCAGCTCCCCACTCTGTCTCTGGTGAATCCTCTCACTGCCTCCCCCACCCCTGGCCCTCCGACCTCTGGTCTACAACCCAGCTCTTCTATGTAAAAATAAGTATATAAATATCTTTTAAAAAAAAAATGAGGGCCTCCCCGGTGGCACAGCGGTTGAGCGCTGGGTTGCGAAGCTGCCCGTGGCCTCTGCAGCACCGGTTCGATCCCCGACTGCTCCCTGGCCACCGGAGGAGGGTCCCACATGGCGCGCAGACCTCTCCTGCCGCCCGCTGCTCCCCTCAGCAGTGTACTTCGGTCCTTCTGCCCACTCTGCTCCCCACTCTGGCTCTGGTGAATTCTCTCACCCTCCCGGGCTTCTGACTGTACCCAGTGCTTGTATGAATAAATAAGTCTTTTTAAAAATAATAATAATAATGAAGCAAAGCAATAGTTTATCTTTTCTACAGTGCCTAGGATGGGTCTGGAGGGAGTACACTGACCTTGCCACTGCTTTTCCAGCAGGGGTGGGGGGGAAGGGAGAGCATGGCTGTGGTTATTGATCACACATCAGTCCTCCAGGCCAGCTTGGCGCTCCTGCTTGCCTATCCACAGGCACCTGCCCAATCCTGCTCTTCCCCTGATGCCCAGCCCGAAGTCCTCTCTTGGCAGCTGGCCAGAGCTCAGCCTCCTGGGACAGTCTCCAGGACAGTGAGTTCTACGGCCATGATGCCTGAACCAATGTTCATTTTCTCTGCACAGGGTTGGTTTGTAGGGCTCAATGTCATGGTTTTCTTCTCCCCATCACAGGCCGGGGAAGGGCAAATAGCACCAGTTTTTTCTGGGTCAGGCAGCAAAAGGCTGATTGCTCTCATGGGCATGCAGAGCCTCTCTCTTCTAGTTCTGCCTGTACATATTTCAGCACTGCACTCCCCTTGCCCTGCACCCACATCCCCAGGCTCTGGGGGATGGACTGGACCACAAGAATTCCTCTGCCTGAGGTAGAACAGTAACAGTGATAGTTAAGTTTCTTGGGTTTCCAGAGCACCTTGCTCAATTAGGATGTAGGATGTGCACTGTACCTGATGCACGACGTAGGATGTGAGCTCAGGCTATTGATTCTGTATCACACGTGGGTTCATCATCTTTTCATCAAACCGCGGTGGGCTGCTGACTCGGCCACATGAGTCTGCCACTGTGCTATTGTCACCTAACAGGAAAGAAGCCATAGGTACATGACTGTCCCTTCTGCAAAGAGGAGAAAGACAGACGCCTACGCCATCCCAACCCCCACCTAAAAAATAGAGACTGGGCCTCCCCTGGTTGAGCGCTGTGCTGTGAAGCTGTCTGCAGCCTCTGCAGCGCTGGTTCAATCCCAGCTGGCCGGCTGGCGCAGCAGACCTCTCCTATCTGGCCCACTGCTCCCCTCAGCAGTGTATTTCATCAGTCTGCCTGTTCTCAGCTCTGTCTCTGTCTCTCACCCTCCCACACATCTGGCCTGTACCCCGGTTCTTGTATAAATAAATAAATAAATCTTAGGGATAAAAAGAGACTAAAAAATTATTCTCACCTGGATAGCTGGTTGTTGTGCCAGCGAGCACTGGGTAGATTCACTATCAATTTGACCAGCGGATAAAGGAGAATTCATGAGTCTGCAGTAGTCTT